CCATTGAAAAATTGGGTTCTATTTTGTGCAAGAGAAAGAGAAATTGGGGATGGCAAAGAAACGGGTTTTTAATTTGTGCAAGAGAGAGAAATTGAGGATAATGAGAGAAACATCGTCTGAAAAATTGGGGACGGCAGAGAGCTTTCTGATATTAAGGATGATAAACAGTAAAAGTGAATAAGAAGATTGGTAAAAAATCACATTTTCTGTTAGCTGGACTGCCACATCATTCTGCTCAACAATTCAATGCATGACTTAAGTGTAAATATCGTTTCCCATAATAAATATAAAACATATAGTAAGAAATTTAATGCACATTGATAAGTGCACAAAACTTGCTATTTTATATTAAAAAATAAATATTTAATTAATCTTTTTTATTAGTTAAATGTTTTTATTCCCTATTTTTTATGTTTTATAGGGACTAATTTCGTAATGAAAGAAAAGAGGCAAAAAATGAAGAAAATGTGAGAAATTATAAGAGGTTTTGAGTTCAAGATTTGAGTGAAGTATAAATGATTTATTTTATTTGTAATTAGAAATTCAAATTCAAAATGGGTACCATCAAATCAGCAACAAATATAATAATTGGAAAGCAGCCAGATTTTAGCAATTTCTAAATGTAATTTTGATTTTTAAATTTTTAATTTCCCTTTTGTAATTTGATTTTTATTTTTTATTTTTTTTCCATCTCAATTATTCTTTTCTAAACTCTATAGATAGGAAGGGATGCAGAGAGGGTTACAAAATAATAGAGTAAACTTAGAGATTTTTTTTTGTATTTTCTTGCATTCTTTTCTTGTAATTCTTTTTTTTCATTAAAAAAAAAAGCTACTTTATTTATGTTTTTCTTTTTTATTTTCTTGTTAATATACTAGTTTAAACACCCCTCTCAAGATAGTGATGAAGCCACCATGCTAAAATATAAATAATTTTTTGTCACTTCTTGTATTAATTTTCCTCTTAAGAATATTTATTTTATTCTTTCATTCTGTGTTTGCCAAATAATGATTGATAGGGAAAAATATAAACCTACCCTACCCTCGATAAGATTGATTAGATTTCATTATTAAGGATAATGAAATCAAATCTGACGTGGTTCAACAAGTAAGAATAATCCTACTATAACTAGAGGAGGTCAAAAGGATTAAATCATATCCCGACAAATCTGGTAATAAATCTCCTATGATTTCGCACAAGCGGAAGATAAGGTCAACCATCGATATCAGCATAACGATTTTGATTCCAATCGACAGCCATAAATAGGGCATTAAGCCATTAAAGAAGGTACGACGTAAAAACTATTATGAATCCCTGCCTTCTTTTTAGACCTTCGTGACTAATTTGATCGTCGGAGAGCTCTTGGCAGGCACCACACCGGTGCCGTCAAGGTTCATCGATCTTCTCCTCTCTTCCTTGTAGGAAAACGGTATCGTATCGGACTGCGCGAATTTCAGCCTCAACAGTTGGCGCCGTCTATGGGAATTACGACTCCTTTGAATCAATTAATTACTCGTTGGGTATATACGTTTGCAGTCCGGTATGGCTACCGAAGGAACACCGTCGCAGGGATCTGGTCAAAGGGTAGAGTCAGGTGAAAACCTGGACGTCCCAAACGACCAGGCACGGCTTGCAGCGTTGGAACTACAGGTTCAAACTCTGGGTCAGGGTATGAACCAGTTGATCCAGCAAAATGCAACACTCTTGCAACACCTTGTTCCACCGACTAAACAAAACTTTCCAGGACAAGATCTCTCAAGTTCAAACGGAGGTAATGAAAATCTTGAAGAGAGGGATAATCATTCCCCCCAAAATGAGACTGAAGTGGAACAAAGCCAGGTGGGAACCCGACATAGAGAGGTGGTTCACCTATCTCTCCTACGGAGTTCCCGACCTCCTGAAAGCATAGCTTTCTGTCTTAAGGAAAAGACAAAGAAAGTTACCCATCTCGACTTGCAGATCAAGGATCTCAAGGGGAAAATGGAAGATGTAATGCAGGCTATGAAAGGGAAAGGTCCTGCCGCCGTAGATGATCTGGTACAAAGGACCAACTTGCCTTTCAGCCCCGCCGTTATGAAATGTCCACTACCTAGCAAGTTCAGGATACCCTTGTTCGAAACCTTCGATGGGACCAAAGATCCCCTCGATCACCTGGAAACTTTTCAAGCTCTTATACATTTACACATTGTGCCAGATGAAATCATGTGCCGAGCTTTTCCCACTACACTTAAGGGATCAGCGAGAGTTTGGTTCAACAAGTTGAAGCCAGGAACCATCAACACCTTCGAAGAATTGAGTAAGCAATTTGTAAGCCACTTCATTGCAGGTCAGAGGCATAGGAGGCCGGCTACCTACCTGTTTACTGTGGAGCAACAAAAGGAAGAGTCGATTTGGGAATACATCACCCGATTCAGCGCAGAGATGTTGCAGGTAGAAGAGGCGGACGACAAGGTAGCTTTGACCGCTTTCATAGGAGGACTCCAAACCTCCAGATTCTTGTTCTCCTTATCAAAAGAACCTCCCACCAGTATGATAGAGTTGCTAGTCAGAGCGCAAAAACACATCAACGCTGAAAACACCATGAGTGCACGGAAGGAAGGAGAGGACAAGAAGAGGCCAGCCCCTCTCGCCAGGGATGAAAATAATACCAAATATAAGAAATTGTTCTTCAGCCAGAGTGACAGCACATATCATGAGAATGACTCAGATGAGTATACCGACTAGAAATTGTCTCGCGGCTGGAATTAGCCTTATCAAGTCACTCACAATAAAGACTGGGGGCATCTTAGTTAATCATTTTAAATGGAGGGTAGCTCCATCACGTGTTATTTTGTTTTTAATAATGATGGTCTTTAATAAAATTCCTTTTAGTTTATACGTGCAATATCCCCGTACTATAAGGGATAGTAAAAGAGTGTCCTGTATTACAAGGACCCGGGCTGAATGAATCCCGTAATCCGTATCCCCGTACTATAAGGGGATAGTAAATGAGTGTCCTGTATTACAAGGACCCGGGCTGAATGAATCTCGTAATCCGTATCCCCGTACTGTAAGGGAATAGTAAATGAGTGTCCTGTATTACAAGGACCTGGGTTGAATGAATCCCGTCATCCATATCCCTGGACTATAGGGGATAAGTATCTTGTATTATCAGGATTCGGGTTGAATGAATCCCGTAATCCATATCCCTGTAATATAAGGATAATAAATGAATGTCATGTACTACAAGGACTTGAGTTGGATGAATCCCATAATTAATATCCCCCTTACAATAAGGGATAGTAAATAAAAATCCTTTATTAAAGAGGTGAACTGAGTAAAACTCATAAAGTTCAATTCCCTTACTAAAGGGATGAAACTCGTATAATTTATTCCCTTATAAAAGGAAGAGTACTGTTCCCTTGGGTGAAAAAAAAAAAAAAAAACCCTGAATTACTATTCACATGAATAGTGCCCGCGGGTACTGTTCACCGGGGTTGAAAAAAAAAAAAAAAATTTATTATTATTACTGTTCATGAACAGTACCCTCGGGTACTGTTCATGCACAATACCCGAGGGTACTGTTCCCTCGGGTGCCAAAAAAAAAAAAAAAAACTATTCAGGAACAAACTGTTCCCTCAGGTGCAAAAAAAAAAAAAAAAAAAACACCCTGAGTTACTATTCACATGAATAGTACTGTTCACAGGGGTATTAAAAAAAAAAAAAAAAAAATTCCCTAAGTTACTATTTATGTGAATAGTACCCGCAGGAATAGTACCCGCGGGTACTGTTCACCGGGGTTGGAAAAAAAAAAAAAAGGAGAAGAAGAAAAAGTATTATTATTATTTATTACATTCCCAAAGCTAGACGTGCAAGTTTGGGAATGGGGGACAACTGATAGGGAAAAATATAAACCTGCCCTACCCTCGATAAGATTGATTAGATTTCATTATCAAGGATAATGAAATCAAATCTGACGTGATTCAACAAGTAAGAATAATCCTACTATAACTAGAGGAGGTCAAAAGGATTAAATCATATCCCGACAAATCTGGTAATAAATCTCCTATGATTTCGCACAAACGGAAGATAAGGTCAACCATCGATATCAGCGGAACGATTTTGATTCCAATCGATAGCCATAAATAGGGCATCAAGCCATTAAAGAAGGTACGACGTAAAAATTATTATGAATCCCTGCCTTCTTTTTAGACCTCCGTGACTAATTTGATCGTTGGAGAGCTCTTTGCAGGCACCACACCGGTGCCGTCAAGGTTCATCGATTTTCTCCTCTTCCTTGCAGGAAAACGGTATCGTATCGAATTGCGCGAATTTCAACCTCAACAATGATAATTCAGAGAATGCCTATTTCTATTCATTTTTTTAGCAAAGCGAAACAAATTAAATAGAAAAATTAATGTTATCTCGTATATAAGCAAGTGTTATATAACACTATATTCTCTTTCATCTTTTCAAGTTGTATTTGGATTGGTGAAAAAATTTTCTTATTAAAAAAAAAATTGATAGAAAAAAGAAATTTGTTTATATGAATATGTTGTGATGAATTTTCTTTTCTTTAGATTTATTCCATCACTTAATTAAAGTTATTTACTTTTAGATATATTTAAAAAAAAAAAATTCATAATTTAAATTAAGTCTATACAAATTTTTTTTTTAGTAAGTGTCACGTGACGTAAGATTCAAATTACTAAAAACAAAATGTCAAGTGATAACCGCTAGAATTAGCCCGCAAACCTAACGCGTGAACCGTAATATACCTTTTTGGTTTTTTTTGTTTTTTTCTTTTAAATAAATGAAAATAACCTCCCGTCTCTCTCTTCAATTCTCTCTCCCCGTTTCTACCGTCATTCCCCGATTCTTCGAAGCTAAAACCGCATGCGCACGAGATATTTCTTCGATTCTCTTTCTACACTCTTTCTTCGATTCTTCGATTCTCTTATTGGCTTTATTTCTAGGTTTATTGCTTTTCAGAAACCCTAACCTTGAATCGTTGATTAACAATGGCGGACAACATACCGAACGAAGTGATGATGAAAATTCTGGTAGGACTACCAGTGAGAACTCTTCTGCAAATCAGGTGCGTCTGCAAATCTTGGTGTTCTCTGATCAGTAGTGATAATTTTGTTACATTTTGGTTCAATCGTAGGACACATTTGAACAGTACTCATCACCTACTTCTCATTAAGCATTACAGTGAACATGAGGACCAAGAACATTTTTCCTTGTATCTCGATGATGAATCACTCACTGAGTACCATTTGAATCTGGAAAATCATCCAATCGCAAACCTTTCTTCCTATTTAACCATTCTTGGTTCTTGCAATGGATTGGTATGCCTTATGGATGATATGCTGAAGTTTACAGATATTTTGTATCTATGGAATCCCACTGTTAGGAAATTTATTGTGCTTCCAGAACCTAGCATTACCTTCAGTTCACACGGCCCTTATGAGCGTGCTCTTGGATTCGGATTCGATTCCACAACTAATGACTTTAAAGTGGTGAGAATTGTTTATGGTTCTGGTGGCAACGAGGTTGACATTTATTCTCTTAGAGAGGGTTGTTGGAGAAGTATTAGTGTTTCTGGTGCCATACCTGATATTCATTGTGAGTCATCTCATGCCTATCTCAATGGGGCTATCCATTGGGTTTCCAGAGGGGGCAATTATCGCCTACAAATTGTGTCATTCAATTTGGGTACCAAAATATTCTCCGAAATGGAGCTACCAACGAGTCTAGGTTATATACGACTACCAAGAATGTTGTCTGTCTCAGTGTTTCACGAGTCGCTTTGTGTGTTCCACAATGATTCTTGGGAAAGAAAAGTGTCAATCTGGGTGATGAAACAATATGGTGTTGTGGACTCGTGGACCAATCTGTTCAATCTTGATTTTCTTAGAGGTTCTGGGAAAGTTATTGGCTTGATGAGGAACGGTGAAGTTCTCTTGGCACATAATGAGGAAATGATATCAACCGACTCAGAGACTCAATATCTCAAGTATCTTGGGATATATGGAAAAGGTGAGGCATTTTCTGTCAATACCTACACAGAGAGCTTAGTCTTAATCGACAAGCCTATGCGAGCCTTGCATCAAAATACCTCTTTAGGATGCTAATTTAGTGACAACTGAGTGGTCACGGTAAATGTGGTCATATATCTCTACATGTAAAGAGTATAATTTATTTCTCTTAGTGGAGTATTCGCTACAGTTTCAAGGTTGATCTTATTTGTTATCTCATTTGGTTTCACATCATTAGTATATTATTGGACAGGGATGCAGTTTACACTTTATTTAGAGTGACGATGATGTACTTAGCTTGACTAATGGTTCATTTGTGGCTAATATTCAACTCATATGAGATTTGACCTGAATTATATTCTCTTCTTAATGGGAATGATTTTATATGATAGAAGTGGTTAGCATGGAGAAAGACAACCATTTTGTTTGTCCCATGGCTTCTATATGCCATGTTGAAAATGTATTTTGTTCATACTCCCTTGCTTTTCTTTGTTTTTTGTTTTTTGTTTTTTGTTTTTTCCTTTTTTTTTCAGTGCCATTTTCTGGCATAAATTTTTCGTTGGGTGTGCTAAATCGTAGCTGATATCTTTACCTCTTATATACTTTTTATGGACATGCACTGCACTTTGACTTTGATGCTTTTCTTTGAATCAGAAATTAAAAGTCTGTTTTAGCATAAATGTTTGGCCTCATTCTAAAAGCAGTAATCAAGATCACAACAAAGTGTGGGAATTTTGTTTCCCAAATCTTGGAACTAAGCTGCACGTATGAGTCTTGTACCTTCCAGGAATGGTAGCCCAACATAGGTCCTTTCTTTTAATTGTTGCAAAAATGATTTCTATCATAGATGGTTTTGCCATGTGTTTATGCATTTTATGTGTTAAATTGTGTACCATCGGTGGGACTTCTGTATTTGGTTGGGTGTGAATGGCAAGCTCCAATTTGTGGGAGTTTTACCAAGTGTCTTTTGTTCACTTTTTGACATTCAGAAATAATGCCTTGAGCTGGATTTTTGTGTTGTATGTGGCTGGGTAAATATCATTGTATTCGGCTATTCTACATTTTGGTTGGATGGAAGCAATAGAGAATTGATGAGGAAAAGGGTTTTGAGTTTAAAGAGATGGAAGCTACTCTTTCTACGTTGAGACTTGAGAGGTCTGTTGCTTCATGCTTCTGCTGTTAGATCGTCAATGTATGGCGGGCCATAAGTCTGGTCGGTCTGTTCGTTCTGCTTTGAACTTCTCTTTATATAACTAATCTGGTCTGCGAGCTCCTGTTGATGGATTTGGCTTTATAGTTTATATCACAACTGGGAAGTTAAGGATGCAGGATATAGGGGTGTTGTTGTGTCAGTAATTCAGGGAAGCTGCTTTTGGAGTAATCCCTGCTATTGAATACTTGACATTTCATTGTTGTTAAGAATTTCTGTCTTATCCCACCTGTGTTTTGGTCTTCTTTTGCTAATGACCACCTTGTACTAGTATTGTAACTTAGAAATGGTATATTCTAGCCTCCTAAGCACGTGTTTAAGGTCTTCGATACATACCTGTCGTGCACAAGATAATCAACGGGATAGTATGTTGTGCTAGATGGATGTCAAAACATAGCATTTGTAGTGTGTTGCGCATAAGCATCTATTTCAAGAACTTTTAGTCGTCAGCAGCTGAGTTTGTACGGCCTCCTTTTGATTTTGTATACTTGAGTAGCGCAAATATTAGCCTGCCAAAGCTGCTGTTGCTTCTGGGGGTGGAGTTTTTTGGTTCAGCTGCTCCATGGAGGTTGTTCTTCAGTTTTTAGAACTTGAGAACAGTAATGCAGGAACTTATATTTGCCTTTCATATAGGAAGTTATTCTATTATTACCATTATTTATCTTAAATTGTTGCCACAAATTTTAGCTGCTCGAACTTTAGAGCATTATTGTATTTTAATGATAGCAAAGCAATGTTGAAGTGGTCTCTTTCATTTTTGAATCTCTAAGGCCCAGTTTGGTGCAATGGTAATGGGAGGAAAAGAAAAGAAAGGTAACGGAGGGTGAGTAAAAAATTGTGTTTGGTATGCAAGGCGGATCCAGAAATTGTCAGTTGGGTGGGCTAAAATTAAATATAAATTTAATAACACAATTTCTTAAGCAAATTTTTTTATAACATAATATAGATAAATATTTGAATTCAAATATTACAAAATATCTATCTAAGTTGTGTTCGACGAGTCTTTAAAGACTTAAATTCGTCGATAATAGACTCTAAGTCAATTTTTCAAACAAGGTCCCAGTCATGCAATCAGTAAGAAATTTACCTCCCATCGTGCTATGTTTTAACACGTTTCATATTTTGTTTTTTTAGTTTTAAAGATTGAATTATTGTAATTTTTGTTTGTGGTTTTATTTTATAAATCAATTTGAAATTCTAACACTTACCTATCTATATTTGTTTTATCTAAATCTATAGTAAGTTAGTAACTTTTGATTTGTGAATTATTGAATTTAGATGTTTTCTTTTATATTAATACTCCTTGTCTACTTAGAAATTAAAATCATCAAATTTTCATAGTTTATAATGCAATAGATTTTTTTGTTTATTTGTTGAATACTTTCTAGATAAACATATGAGCTCTGTTTATTTTTCATGATGATTTGAAAATGTTGAAATTATGAATTTATTCTATATATATAATTTCATAACGGCCTCTACAACAAATTTGTCTCAAAATATCTTTTACTTCATATCCTAATACTTATCATTAATAGGGCTTGTTAGGCTTGGGCTTTTATTTTAGTATTGTGACTTAGCTGACTTGGGCTTATTTGGGTGAGTTAATATTAATAATAATTTTTTTTTGGGGCTGGGCTAAAAATACACATAGTAACAAAAAAAAAAAAATTTAGGCTGGAGCCCAGCCCAGCCATGCGTTGGATCCGCTAGTGTTGGTATGAATGGTTGGAATGAAAGGAAAGGTTTTTGAAGGATATAGCATGCTTAAATAATAACTTTTGCTATCCATCCAAACTTTTGCTGTCCTTCCAAAAGTGGAAGGAAAGCAAAGGAAAGGCTAATGTGATCTATTTAATACCAATTTTACCCTTAAGACATAAACAAGTTTACACTTAGATCTTATGGACGACGGTACAATAATTTTAAAAAATACAATAAATTAATATTTTATTAGTATTGATATGTATAAAAACAAACACACATAATATTTATCTATATAGAAATGATTTTTATTTTATTTTATTTATTTAGTAATGTTGATGTGTGAAAAAAATTCACACGCACACAAATATTTATCTAATAAGTATTTAATATCATTGACTCCTGTATCTAATAAGTTCCATCTACTATTAAATTTGATCCAATGAAAATGCTCTAATCAATTTATCATTACAAAGAAAACTGAATGGAACCTATCGTATTGTTGAATTATAAACATATAAGTAATACCAAGGTATGAAATAGTTTTACTGAGACCTTGAAAACACAGAACTAAAAATTGAGACCTTGAAGAAAGAGGGAAAAAAAAGAGAGGAAAATTTGAGAATAGAGGAAAATTGAGACCTTGAAAAAAGAGAACTAAAAATTATAAGGTAAATATCACATGCACCTATTATATATATATATATATATATATATATATATATATACATATCACATATTTGAAGTTTTATTCATAGTTAAATATCAAACGTATAAACTTACTAAGGACTCGAGCTCCCAATCTTCCGTGGAGAAGAAAGAGTACATTTGTAAAATTTATATAGTTTTCTACTTTGAACTTTAACTAATATTTCAAATGATTTTGATATAGAAACAGCACACAACTCCCATGTAAATTTGTTGGCAAATTTTTGGGTGTATGAGGAAAGGAAAAGTTCACCGAAATTGTTACTTTTCGAGATTTAAAAAAAAAAAATCTCCATATTAACAGGCAATAAATAATAAGAATATGATTTATTATACCAAATAAAATTTTCATGATTCATATATACTATTATTACAAGTGACTAGATGTTGTTTAATAATTCAATTCAACGTTTATCTAATTAAGTGTGTTTGATAAAATAATTTGAATATCACTTAAAATGAGGTAAAATTATAAGTAATAGAGATATCGCTTATCACTGAATGCTGAAAACTCAAAAAGATATAAGAAAATATTTATTTTTAATTATTACTTAAAAACTTGTTCACTTAAAATTCAAATGTTAAATTTTTTAGTACTTAGTTTACAATTTTATCGAACATGACATATATAATAATAATAATATTATTATTATTATTATTTCTCTCTCTTTTTTTATAAAAAAAATAAAAAATAAAAATTCAACCTATTTCGAAATCATAGTGTTAAACTTAAATCACATAAAGCGTTAATTGGAGTAGGTACGACTTTGAGAGTGGGAGTACGAAAAAGATAAAATTAAATTACAAATAGTAAGAATACTAGGTGGAGTGTGTGAATTTGAGAGTGAAAGTACGAAAGAAATAAAATTAAGTCACAAATAGTGTGAATACGGGGCCAAGTGGAAGAGCAGGAGCGTTCGGAGTAATTGGGGGCATATCTGTCATTCAATAGTAATTGAAAACTCTAGGTTCGCTCTGCTTAGACACACGGCGTCGTTTTGCAACTGATGCCAATATAAGGACTTTCGCTGCCCGTCACAGAATCACGCTCACTGCTTTCACTGGTTGCTTTCTCTCATTTGGGTTTATTTCTAGGGTTTTAATAGCAGCTCTAAAAAACCCTAGAATCTGTTCATCTCTCTCGTTGCTGTCTTCATTTCTAAGGTTTAACCTCAGCTTTCAAAAACCTAACCCTAGAATCAGTTGATTAACAATGGCGGACAACATACCGAACGAAGTGATGATGGAAATTCTGGGAAGACTACCGGTGAAAACTCTTCTGCGAGCCAGGTGCGTATGTAAATCTTGGTGTTCTCTGATCAGTAGTGATAATTTTGTTACCTTTTGGTTCAATCGTATCACACATTTGAACAACATCAACAACACTCACCTACTTCTGATAAAGCACTACAATAAACGTGAGGAAAAAGAACATTTCTCCTTGTATCTGGATGATGAATCAATCACTGAGTACGATTTGAATCTGGAAGATCGTCCATATGCATACATTTATCCCTATTTAACCATTCTTGGTTCTTGCAATGGATTGGTATGCCTTATCGATGATATGCTGAGCCTTACAGATCTTTTGTATTTATGGAACCCCACTATTAGGAAATTTGTAGTGCTTCCAGAACCTCGCATTACCTTCCGTTCGCACGGCGCTTATGATCGTGCTCTTGGATTCGGAGTTGATTCCGCAACGAATGACTATAAGGTGGTGAGAATTGCATATGTTTCTGGTGGCCCTGAGGTTGACATTTATTCTGTCCAAGAGGGTGGTTGGAGAAACATTAGTGTTTCTGGTCCCATACCTAATATCAAATGTGAGGCATCTAATGTCTATCTCAATGGGGCTATCCATTGGGTTTCCGGAGGATATTCTCGCCTGTTCATTGTGTCATTCAATTTGGGTACTGAGGTATTCTCCGAGATGGAGCTACCAAGCAGTCTAAGGTATATACGACAATCACGTCGGTTGTCTGTTGCAGTGTTTCATGACTCGCTCTGTGTGTTCCACACTGATTCTTGGGAAGGGAAATCGTCAATCTGGCTGATGAAACAATATGGTGTTGTGGAGTCATGGACCAATCTGTTCAGTCTTGATTTTGGTAGAGGAGGTTCTGTGAAAGTTATTGGCTTGAAGAGGAATGGTGAAGTTCTCTTCACAAATAATGAGGAGATTATTTCAGTTGACATAAAGTCTCCAAAACTCAAGTATCTTGGGATCCATGGAGAAGATGTGGCATCTTCTGTCAATACCTACACAGAGAGCTTAGTCTTAATCGACAAGCCAATGCCAGTCTTGGATGAAAATAACTCTTCTGAATGCTAGTTTAATGACAAATCTAAGTGGTCATGGGCAATATAAATTTTTGTGGTCATGTTTCTCTACAAGTAAAGGGTGGGATTTAGTTTTCTTAGTGGTTTGTTACGTCATTTGGTTTCAGTACTTGTTTTCATATCTTTAGAATATTAGACAGTGATGCGGTTAACACTTTATTTAAAGTTATGATGTACTTAGAGGTTGACTAATGGTTCATTTGTGTGCTAATATTCAACTCATATGAGACTTGACCTGAATTATATTCTCTTCTAGTGGCTAGCATGGAGAAAGACAGCCATTTTGTTTGTCATGGCTTTGATATGCCTTGAAAATGTATTTTGTGCATACACCCTTGCTTTTCTTTCTTTTTTTGGTTGCCATTTTCTGGCATGATTTTTTTGTTGAGTGCTCTAAATCGTTGTTGATATCTTTACCCCTTAGATACTTTGTGTGGACTTGCACTGCACTTTGACTTTGATGCTTTTCTTGGAATCAGAAAATAAGTCTATTTTAGCATAATGTTTGGCCTCATTCTAAAAGCAATAAACAAGATCACAATAAATTGTGCAAATTTTGTTTCCCAAATCTTGGAACTAAGCTGCATGACCTATGTACCTTTCAGGGATGGTAGCCCAAGATAGTTCCTTTCTTTTAATTATTGAGAAAATGAGTTCTATCGTTGATGGTTTTGCCATGTGTTCATGCTTAATACGTGTTATTGTGTACTGTTGATGGGACTCCTGTATTTGATTGCGGGTGAATGGCAAAGCTCCAATTTCTGGGAGGTTTACCAAGCGTCTTCTGTTCACTTTTTGACATTAAAAAAAAATGCCTTGAGCTGGATTTTTGTGTTGTATGTGGCTGGGTAAATGGCATTGTATTTGGCATTCTATGTTCTGGATTAGATTTATACTGTTCTGGTTGAATTGAAGCAACAGAGAATTGACGAGGAAAAGGGTTTTGAGTTTAGGGTAATTGGTAAAGACGCATGTTCCTTTGGGAATCCACATAGTGAGAGGAGAGTAAGTATTACATGTGATGGCTATAGCAATATAGTGCATTAAGTGGTTGGGCTGCATAGTAGGATAGAATTTTTTAGGGTCTTGCAGTTGTTAACTGGATAGTGGTTCTCTCATATGGTTTTTATGGCTGCCTTATGCATAGCATCTGTTATTTAAGTTTCCTGGTTATAAATAATTGCTTCAGTAGAAGGTTTATCCTCATGGAAGCTTCTCCTTCTACGTTGAGAGGTGTGTTGCTTTTTTGCTTCTGCTTAATTGTCAATGTATAGCCATAAGTCTGGTTGGTCTGTTCATTCGGCTTCGAACTTTCCTTCATATAACAAATCTGGTCTACAAGCTCATGTTGATGCATTTTGGCTTTATATCATAACTGGGAAGTGAATGATGCAGGATTTAAGGTACTTCATCTTTTTGGTTGTGTCGATAATTCAGGGGAGCTGCTTTTGCAGAAAACCCTGCTAGTGAATACTTGACATTTCGCTGCTGTCGTTACTTTCTGTATTATCTCGCAAGTGCTTAAGTTCTTTGATTTATACCTGCTGTGCACGAGATGATCGACGGGGAAATATTTTGTGCTAGATGGATGTCAAAACTCAGAATTTGTTGTGTGTTGCATATAGCATCTTATTTCGGGACTTTTAGTGGTCAGCATCTGAGTTTTTAGTGCCTTCTGATTTCTGTACTTGAGTTGCTCAAATAGTAGCCTGCGAAAGCTGTTGTGGAGTTTTTTTGTTGCTCTCATGCTGAATTTGGAGATTGTTCAGGAGAGCAATATATATATATATATATATATATATATATAAACCTCAGCAGGTATGTGTTCAATTAGATGGGATCTTGCAAAACTATAGAACTGTCCTGAACAGTTGTATAGAAAACCAAGAAGCTGGAGGAAGTTGTTCTTTTATTGCCATCATTGATCTCAAATTGTTTCGAAAATTTTTAGCTGCATGTGGAGGTGGGCCGTTATCAAAAAAATGTGCTTGGTGGCTGAGCTAGCCAAAAAAAAATGTGCATTTTGACAAAAATGATTTGCTTTAAAATGCAAAAATAATTTTCTTTTTAATGATACAGAATAGGCTTTGAAAATGCAAAACAATGTTAAAGTGGAGCCTTTCATTTTTGAATCTCTAAAGCTATGAAGTAATTGGATTTAAAAAATATATATGTTACTATGAAGTAAGTCCATATATACGAGAGGCATACATGACACAGTACAAGTAAAACAATGCGATAAATTTTTGAAAAATAGAATACAGATCCGATTAAACTTGACAATGTATATTGTATTAAGGTTGATGTGTATAAAAAATAATTCACACACGAATAATTTTTTATATATAAATTTAAAATAATATACAATTCTTTGTCATGTTACAAATATTGTTATGAACATTTTTCTTATAAAAAAAAATAAAAATTTATTGTAGACTAAACTAATAATGAAATATTCTCATTATCTGAATTTTTTTTATTCTTTTTGTTGAAGAAACGCCACTTATAAATATAATCTGCTGAGCGTTTCAGGTTTCTTTGAGTACTCAATTAACTGCATTACCAAACCTTAACCCACTTTTAAAAGATAATAGATGTGGTCAAGCTCCCTAAAAGTAGCTTTTTGCACAAATTGAAACCCTAAACAGGTAAATCATACAAGACATCACGAGGATCAACCACGGCTAGGTCTTACAATGTCGGAGCCCAATTTCAAGAAATGCATTAGCGAAGGGGTAATAGTGTCAAGAGATTTTTATTTTTACTATTTAGTTATTTATTTATTTATTAGCACTTATAACGGTTCTATAATACACGTACCATTTACAACCAGAGTCTCCAAGTTTTTTTATTAACGGTTGAATTGACAATCGACTAATCGGCTGGTGTTATTAATATTATTATTTAACGAACAGTAGGTACGTATTCCATTGCCCGAGCCCAATTTCAAAAAATGTATTACTAATAACATAAAGTAGTATCTAGAGCGCTCTCTCACAACAAGAGTCTCCAAGTCTCTTTATTGAGAGTTGAATTGACTAACAGACCACTAGGGTGGTGTTATTATTTTTTAAACGCATAGCTGATGCGTGTTCAATTAGATGGGATGTTTGCTTTCCATATTGAAATAAAAAGAGCAAACTACAATCACCTTCCTTGAAGTTTGGACTAATTATAATTAAACTTGAGATTTGTCATTTTATTGCAAAGATCCCCCAATGTCAGATTTTGCAGTAAATTTACTAATCTACCCTCATTATTATATTATATTATTAAAAAATTAAAATACCTAAAAATAACAAATTACCCTTTTACCCAATAACATTTATCCTCTTCTTCTTCTTCTCTCTTGCCTCCACCAGTAACACTACCAAGACCACTTATTCCACCACCATCACCACCCACAGTGCCACCATAACTGCCAAAGTAGGTTTATATAGCAAGTGACATATGGGTTATATGCGTGTAAAATTGTAAATATATATATATATATATATATACACACACACCACCACCACCACCACCACCACCACCCAGCACCATCACTTCACCGCCCCTACCAAACACCATCTCCTCCTCTTTTTCTTTTTCAAAATTGAAACCCATCTCCAATATTCAATCTCAAGCCTATTTCCTCAGCCGGCGGTTCTAACATTCAATCTCAAGCTTATCTCCTCAGTCAGCGGTTCCAATATTCAATCTCAAGCTTATCTCCTCAGCCAGCGGTTCCAATAGTCAATCTCAAGCCTATCTCCTCAGCCGGCGATTCCGTATTGTACAACAATGCTTTGAATGTAAGCATCTAGGTTAAACCGAATTGAAGGCAAGCTAATCGGCCAAGGGCAAGGGTTAGACGCTCCATTGATTCTAGCGAAGCAAAGAAGAAAATAAAGCTCAACCCAAACCGTGACGAAGAAGATCATGCGAACTGAAACTCCATTGATTCAGGCGAACTCGAGTGACGAAGAAGAAATCGGAATGAATCGGTGATGGTGGTGGTGGTGGTGGGTTCGATTAAGACACTACAGTGGTGGTGGTGGTGGGTTTGATTAGGGCTCTGCAATCGGTGTTGTGATTGTGGTGGTATTGGGTTTCGATGATGGTGGTGGTGGATCGATGAGGGCTCTACAACCGTGCCACCACAAATTCCTTAAGCGGGTGGTGCAGCGGCGGTGACGGACCGGCAAGGATGAAGACGGCTCGGCTGCGGCAGCTCAGATGTTTCGGCCGTAATGGACGGCGGGCGGTGGTGAAAAATTCATGGCAAGCAAGGATCTGGGCACGATGATGGTTGCCGTGAGTGGTTCGGAAGCTCAACGGCGGTGACGGACTGCCGTGACTGGTTCGGATCGGACTGGTCTAATCTTTATATATATGTGTGTGTGTGTGTGTGTGTGTGTGTGTGAATTTGTAACCATATATCTATTATATATGTGTGTGTGTGTGTGTGTGTGTGTGTGTGTGAATTTTGCACACAAAACACATTATTTGATTTGGGTGTTGCATATGGATTTAGCAGAAGTGATAGTGGCAGTGAAGAAGTGGAGGTGGGTTCGAACGGAGAGAGAGTCAATGGTTTAAGGGTAGTTTGGTCCACTTAACATGAATTTTGTTGTCATTTGTTTACATTACAAGGGTAATAGAGTCTTTTTACGTTGTTGATGGGCATTTTAGTCACTTCAAACTAATTTTTTGATAAAAAATATTATTTTTTTGTATGAAGGGGAGGTCATTGCAAAATGGAAAAAATCTCAGGGGGTCACACTGTAACAAAATAGCAAACCTCAGATTTAGTTACAATTAGTCCAAACCTCAGGGGAGGTCATTGTAGTTTGCCCAAATAAAAATGCTGAAGTTATTATTTTATTGCCATCATTCATTTTTCATAATGTGATTACTTTCTTGTCTTGAAAGAGTTTTATTGGTTGATTCAATTTAGTCATTTTGTGGGAAAAATATGCTCCTGAGTCTCTTCAAGTCTTCCCTTTGAGTGATACTTTGTGTAAACGGGACGATAATTATGCAACGCTAAATTTTTTTTTTGATGGCAAGTATGCAATGCTAATGTTTATTATTATGTGCTAGCTCTTACTAAAATATTTAGTATTTATTTGCTTGGCCTTGTTCTTTATAATTACCAATTTGCTTATTTTTCTTAGTACTAACTAAAGATTCATTTATCTAGATTAAAAATTTAAATAATATGCATCCATTCTTTAGGGATTCGGTATCATTTCTCTTATTTGTGTATAATTAAAAGGAGCTTTGGTTTCACATTAATTTCTCGCTCATACACAGCTAATTTAGAGAAGCAAAATTAAAATAGTGAA